TGATTCGCCTGGCAGAGAGGGATGATGCTAAAGCGTCAGCGGGGATGCTGCCGAAGCAGCTGCAGTCCCTGGAAGGGGACTGAGAAAGCAAAAACCCTCCGAAAAACGCTCCTTTCTTTTCAAGAGCAGGGAAGAGCACCCCGCTCCTCCTGAAAACATGATCTTTGGGGTTGTTTTTCTATTTTTTTTCTTTTTTTCTACTTTTTTTTGTTGTTGGATTTGAGCTGCACATCTCCCTGGGGGCTCAGCAAAAGCAAGCGCTCGTCCCCTCTCCCTGTGAGGGGCTGCGAGCGTGGCCAGGCCGCCTCTGCGCTGTAGGGATGTGGGGAAGAGCTTTAGGAAGGTTATTTTTAGGGGAGGAAAAAATCTGGGGTCAGATTTATTTATAAATGATTGATAAATCCCATCAGGCCTGAGAGCGACTGCAGGAGCAGCCGCCGGCTCCCGTTGGAAGGCAGAGAGGGCTGAAATCCTCCTGCCACGTGTGCGGGGGGAATTGATTTGATCCGATTTTGGGTTTTCGAAAAGCGCTTTGCTTTTAAACCTCAGCTCGTGCCGGGCGCAAAGGAACTACGTCGGCTCGGAGTGGGGAAACTGAGGCAGGGGGGGGGCCGGGAAATGAAGACGGCACTGAGCTGCCGAGGTTGAGCAACTGATTGGGCAATTTGCACGTTGGCAGCCCTTTTATTTTGGTGATTTCCTGCTTTTTGCCAAAAAAAATGGGGGGCAGCGGCAGCTGATCTCCGTTTGGGGATCTCCGGGTGGCCACTGCTCCCTTCCACCCACAGCCTGGTGCTCTTCAGACCCAAAAAAGGAAGAATTTGCCCCTTTCCTTGCTCAGTCGGAAGGGGATGTGATGACGGAGCGAAGGTGGCAGCGCCGGGGCGGTAAACAGGAAACCGGGCTCCTCGGCGCAGGGAGATGAACCTGCATTTTGGGACTCCCCTTCCATCCCAAAAGAAGTCTTTTTTTTTTCGGCTGGAGCTCATCCCAATGTCCCTGTCGAGGGAACCAGGGCTTTGGCTTCACCCCTTCGTATGGCCGCGATGCCACAGAGCGCAACTCCCCGTGATACCCAACGCTCCACGCGGGGCTGCGCTGCTGGAAGGGGGTTTCATGTGTTTTTTTCAGCCACTTGGATATTTTTTGGCAATATTTTTTGCATGGGCCAAGCAGCCGTGTCGTTTCATCCTCCTTCCGTGCAGCGGTGACTTCCCCAGCGCTTCTTCATCCGCTTTCAGGGGCCGCCCACAAACCAGATGCTGATTTCTTACCGTTCCTCCATCGCACAGCTGCAACCCCCAAATTCGGGTCCCCGCCGCAGCAGGTGCCATGCAGCCGCCGCGCCGACATTTACCCCGAAACCACAAATCCGGCTGCAAAATCTCCTCCCGCTATCCTTTTTGAGGGATAAATAGGATTATTATTGGGTTTATTCCCTGGGGGAGGATGGAGGGATGCGGGAGAGGCGGCTGCAGGAGGAGAGTCGCTGCCGGGATGCTTGTGCGGTTCCTCGGCTCGTCAGGAAACGCGAAGCTTTGTCAGCTTTTCCGTCACGACGTGTGATTTTTTTTCGGCAGTGGGTTTCTCTTCTGCTTTCTCCCAGAGCGCCCGGGGCCGGGCCGGCTTCCTGCCCTTCCCCGGCCTCTCTCTCTGCCCGCTCAAGCACCGGCTTTGCTTTTGCAACCTCTGCTGTGGTTTGAAGCACGACGCGGAATATTTTTGCTGTTGTATATCATTTCGTTGCTGACATATATCCCGACGTGGGGGGTAGGAAGCGGGAATTGCCGCTGGGGTGAATTTTTAAGGGCAGGTCCATTCTCCAACACAGGTTTTACTGCATGGCCTCGGTTGTGTCATTTTTCCGCCTGGGGGGGGATAGTTGCAGGGTTTGGTTTGGTTTTTTTTTCGCAGGAAAATGGGTTTGTTTCCCAGGGGATTGGGAGGAAGCACACAGCGATGCAGGAGGTGGGAGAAAAGAGCAGTTTGTGGATCTTTTCTCGCCTCGGTTTCTCTTTCTGGACAAGGGAAGGGAGGGGGGAGACCCTGGGAAAATGAAAGCTGGTCTGTAGGAGGGTTTGTACAAACACCCAAGGAAAAATGTGGCCCGAGAAGCCTTTTCTCATTGCTTAAAACTGCCCCGATGTTGCCCTTCAACATCTGATTTCCAAAGTGCTCCGAGCCTGCAAGTGACCCTGGGGGCTTCACCCTAAATCTCATTTTAATTCCCTTTCGTAGCATCCAAAAATCACTCTCCCGCTTTAAGCCAGGGTGGGATTTTGGGGGGACTTGCCAAGTCTTTGCACGAAAGCGACCGAGATGTTTTGGCGCTGGAGGGAACACACAAAAATTGAACCGGCATCATAAAAAGAAAGAAAAAGATAAAGGAACCAGCCCAGCGTCTCTCGCTGCTTGCAAAACTCAGGCCCTGTGCCCGCTGCCTGGTTTCGGGAAGCGTCAAGCTGGATCCAGACCTGGAGCTTCCTAGCAAAACCCTGGTAAAATAAAAGGAGAAAAGGAGCAAATCCTGTTTATAACCCTTCCGCCTCCGGGCGTAGCATCGCCGGAGCGGTCCGTGGATGCTCGAAATGCAAATGTTAGCGTAAGCGTATCTCTGCCACTATTAAATTTTCAGTGAGTTTACACCACTTCTCCCCTTATCTGATTTTTCCCTCCCTCCCCATCGGGTTTTCCCGGAGGAGCCGCCTCAACTGCATCCCCTGGAGCCTTTTTCCCAAGAGCTCTTCCAAAATCCAAGCCAGTTGCTTTTTTCCCCCCCCTCCCCGTTATCCAGGGGTGGGTATCAGGGATGGGGTAACGGGGCGGTTCACGCTGATGCTTTTCTCTCCTCCCTCTTTGCAGTTCAGCTCCCATGAAAGACGAGCGGGAGGATGGATTACGGCGGCTGCGAGTACCCGGTCCCCTGCGGCAAAGACAAATACATCTCCAAGTAAGATGCTATGCAGGGCAGTAACACAGAAATACGGTCAGTGCTGGTGGCCGGGGAGTTGTTTGCAATATTCCCGGGGGATTTTCGCCTTCGAGCTGGGAGGAGGGGAACGACTCTGGGTTTTAACTCGATGCGGTTGGATTTGGCAAGAAAAAGCCATTCTGGGGCAAGAAACGGCAATTTCCTTCAAAAGAAAAAGCCTCGTTGATGGGATTTTGAATTTTTTTTCTTAGGAGCGTGTGGCCAAATGCTCTATAAACTTTCAAGAAAGAGATTTTGCTGAAAAAGGTCCCGATTAGTAATTGGTCTTTCATGCTTTGGTAAAGAAGGGAAATGATTCCTAAGTTTCCAGGAAGATTTTGGAGGAGATAAAGCATATCCGTGATATTTTTGCCCCCCTTTTTTCTTTTGCGTAACCCCAAATCCCCGCGATTTGTGCTTTTTTACACTAGTCTGATGGCGCCCAGCATCCTTACACTCCATCAGCCAGCTCAGTTAATAATTGGTCTTTCATGCTTTGGTAAAGAAGGGAAATGATTCCTAAGTTTCCAGGAAGATTTTGGAGGAGATAAAGCATATCCGTGATATTTTTGCCCCCCTTTTTTCTTTTGCGTAACCCCAAATCCCCGCGATTTGTGCTTTTTTACACTAGTCTGATGGCGCCCAGCATCCTTACACTCCATCAGCCAGCTCAGTTAATGACAGTTTATTTTTATTTTTATTTTTATTTTTATTTTTATTTTTATTTTTATTTTTATTTTTATTTTTATTTTTATTTTTATTTTTATTTCTATTTCTATTTTTATTTTTATTTCTATTTTTTTATTTTTATTTTTATTTTTATTATTTTTCATTTGCAACTGTAGCAGAGCCCAGACTTTTAAATTTGAGCTGGAGGTCAGGGTCCAGAGTGCCGAGCCAACATGATAAACTTGCCTGTGATAACTTGTGACTCCAGCATGACCCAAGGGCTTGGGCGCTCTGAAAATTCCCATGTTTTTCAGCCTTGTGACCGACTTTGCCAAGGTCTGACGAGTTTTCTTACGTCTTTTGGCAAGGTTTATGGAGGGCACAGTTGTGGAGGAGCTTGTCCCCCCTACTCGTGGTGGCAAAGGGCAACCTCTGGTTGAACCCGCAGCAGATATCCTCAACAAGGGAGGTCTAGAGGCAGCAAATACCCTAATTCAGAATCACAGAATCCCAGAGTGGTGGGGGTGGGAAGGTCCCTCTGGAGCTCCCCCATCCCACCCCCCGCCAGAGCAGGGGCACCTCCAGCAGTGGCACAGGACGGCGTCCAGGCGGGTTTGGGATGGCTCCAG